TGCGTCAAGCCTTCGGATGCCTTCATTGCGTCTTACAGTCACTGTCCCCTCAGGAGAACTCCGCATTTACCTTCTTCATCTCAAAATCCCCTCAAATCCTCTGGTAAGTAGGAAATAACGAACGCATAAATGTTCGTTGTAGCTCCCACTGTGGCTGGCAGGATGCCTAGCCTATGGGCATTCCCTGAAAACAAATTTTTGCATGCACAAATGAAGACAGAGATGGATTTAGCCAATAACTACATTGACAAAGTTGTGCTAAGATTTCCTGCGAGGCAGGCCCCGTACAGGGGATACAAAGAAACGTAAGAGCGAGCAGCTATCCTCCAGGGCTCTGCGGCCTGTTGGAGTCAGGAGCAGGGACCTTTCCCACTCACAGAATGTCCACGCACTTCTACACATTTTCCTGCGTCCTCACAGTCAGGCCGCTTCCAGCCAGTGTGCTGGTGAGCAGAAGGGAGGGACGGCGCTCCCGGACTGGAATGGCTCACAGCCGACATGGCATCCGAGGGGCCTCTGTTGGTGTGGTCCTCACATGGCTGTGTGAGCCCGAGCCCCCTGCCCTGCCACCGAGGACATGGAGCATGAGCGAGGACAGATAAACAACTTTGCGTTATGCACCTGAGATTTTAACATTAATTTTTTACCCTGGCAGAGCCTAGGTAAACACACAGACAAGTCCAGCGATGAGAGAAGACAGTGGGAGGAGCAGATAATGTGCCCCAAGCTTACTCGCACCTGCTGGTTTGTGGGCCACCAGTCTATGGTGTGGTGTCCCCTCTTCCTAGAGCCCTCCCTTCGGGTCAAGATGTCTGTGTGCTGGTGCCTTCCTGTCGCCCCAGGCTCAGCCACCATGTTACCACCTCGACAGGCCTTTCCTGACCACCTGACCAGAGTGTACAAGCCCACACCACGGTCCCATGACCATTTTGCTTTCTCACCCTCTGGGAGATGTTCCCACTCACTATCTTTCCCTTATTGTGGCGTAAGCACAGTGAGAGCAGGGACCATGTCTTCCTTGTCGACAGCTGTGTTCCTAGAATCGTGCCTGGCACAAAGTAGGCATTCCACACCCGGGGGATGAACGAATGAACGCATGATCTGCATGCGAGGAGTTCAGAAGTGGGTGGGAGGAAACTCCCTGAGGGCTGAGTGTCCAGAAAAGGATGGGGGAGGCAGGCCTCTTGAGGCCCTTTAAAAGGAGGGTCACCGAGGGCTATTAGAGTGCTTCCAGCAGCCTAAGCACAGCACAGAGGTGGGAACGCACAGGGTGATCAGGGGTGACCGTGAGTGATGTGGGTCGCCAGGGTGGAGGGGGACACTGGGAAGAAGGTGGCTGAGAGCCTCAAATGCTAGTTTATATTTGACTCAAGACCAGAAGGAAACTCTCTGTGGGGGCCGATGGGAGTGGTGCTCCCCTCCCCCAGCCCAGGGAGAAGGTTTGAGAAAGACTGACTGGGTGGGATTTCCAAGCTAGAGGCCCAGAGAAAGGGGCTAATGACAAGGGCACAGTCCTTAGGCTACGACAACAGCCCACACAGAGGTGACGACCCATGGACAGGAAGGAGGAAAATGATGAAGGAAGGATCAATAAAATTCATTCCAGAAAAGCTCCCTGGTTTGCCCACTGCCACACAATGGGGGATGGGAGGGAGGAGCCAGGCCCAGAGCTCAAAGGTTCCTTCCACCAGGCTCCCGAATTCAGTGGCCCTGCCATTATACAAAAGCACCTCTCTGAGCCCTCTGGGAACACCCAGTGTCGGGCAGACAAGGGCAGCCCTCTGGGGAGGAGGCCCACGTGGGTTCCCGCATGGGGACCCAATACATCACTTCAATCCAGACAGTAAGAAACGCATATCAGCATCGCACAAAAAGTATCTGCATTTCAGAGGGAGAATCTGAGTGTGAACCTTAGTAAAATGAGGATTATAATACTTCCCTTGCTGACCACACAGTTTTTGTGAGGATGAATTGGGATAATGGAATTCTTTTAGTCTAAAGCGGCTTTATGAGTATCACTATCACAAAGAACAAATTGTAGTTGCTAGAATTTCATCTCCTTTCCAGGGCACAGACTGGTTTCACAGCCAGGAGGAGCCTGAACTTTTTGGGTGAGTTAGGGAGTGCTATTAGAAACAGTGGATGTAGCTTCACGTTGTGGAAAGTGTTTTCCGGCCCGATGCAAAGAGAATTTGCCCAGCCTTGTACACAGGAGGTAAATACTTGTTAATGAGGCTTGGACTGTGGGCCACACTAGCTTCTAGGCCTCCCACTCTTTAGAGCTGTGGAAGACAAGTGACATAAAGTAATGCAGATGAGCGGCAGGGAGATGTTTCTGTACCATCACTGGTTTCCTGCTCCTCTCTTCCTTCCTTCCTGCCCACACACTCAATAATCTCCTTTGCAATAGGCCTTCCCGCCTTTCTCTTCTCGGGGGCATCCTATGTCCCTGCTGGGACAGTTTTGCAAACATACAGCTCCAATCGCGTCACCCTCTTCAAAACCTCCCCAGGGGTGTGAGGTCAGAGCACTTGCGGGGGATGGGGAACGTTTCCTTCCACTCCTGATGTCTCCCCAATGTGAAGGGAAAGGGCTTCGTCGTCAGGCCCCGCCTTGTCTCCCCTACCTCACTCATTTCCCTTCTTGGGGGACAGAAGCTGATCTCATTGGTTCATCTGGAAGATGACACTGGCATTCCTCATCTACCCTCTTCCTCTAACTCTTCCTCGGGGGAGCCAAGAGCTTCAGGAAGCAGGTGTTCTTCTGGGCCTCCCCACCCCATGTCCTAACACTTCCCAGCCTTCCCTGTCCTCCGCTGCTGGCAAGGGAGTCTGTCTGTCATCTGGTATTGGGAAGCCTATCTGCCTCTCCTGTTAAGCTACTTCCTCCCATGTAGCCTTTCTTAGCTTTAAAAGTGAAATCTTGGCTTGTGCCTACGTCTGCCTTTGCCTTACTTCTCAGCCAGTTCAGTGATCAGGCCAGAAAGATGGGTACTTTTTATTGGATGACCCTTTGAGCTCCAGCAAACACTTTCTCCTTGTCTATGAAAATAAGCAGGGTTCTCAGCCTGGCATCCAAGGTCTTCCACTGAAAAATCAGCTCTCAGTTAATGCTCTGGATCCAGCTCCCCCCTCCACTGTGCCCTGAACATGCCGCAGACCCAAAAGGAACTGCCACGCTGGGCTTCTCTCGCATCCTGGACACACTCTGTGTTTTCCTTCTTCCATAGGTGGAGCTCTCAGCTCCTCCCTGGCACCAAAATTCTACCTGTTGTCATCGTCCAAGCCCAGCCCACGAGTAGTGCAAGCCCAGCCCCCGTGTAATGCAAGCCCAGCCCCGTGTAGTCCAAGGCCAGTCCCGTGTAGTCCAAGCCCAGCCCCCGTGTAGTGCAAGCCCAGCCCACGTGTAGTGCAAGCCCAGCCCACGTATAGTGCAAGCCCAGCCCCCGTGTAGTCCAAGCCCAGGCCCCGTGTAGTCCAAGCCCAGCCCACATGTAGTCCAAGCCCAGCCCCCGTGTAGTCCAAGCCCAGCCCACATGTAGTCCAAGCCCAGGCCCCGTGTAGTCCAAGCCCAGCCCCCGTGTAGTGCAAGCCCAGCCCATGTGTAGTCCAAGCCCAGCCCCCGTGTAGTGCAAGCCCAGCCCACGTGTAGTCCAAGCCCAGCCCACTGTGGTCCTCCACGGGCCTTTCCTGCCCCTGAGGGATCTGATCTCTCCCTCTCATTCTGTTCCCTCTGCCAGGAACCTCTTGTCCTCCCGCTCGCTGCCTCCTCCCTCTGCAACTGCCTGTGTGAATATCACTTATCTGTGAGCAATCCTTGTCTCAGGAGCCTCCCCTGAGCCGCTGGGAGTGTTGGAGGCTCCCCTTAAGTGCTTCCATAGAATCCCACATACCACTAAACACACTGAAGCAACATCCTCTGCTGACTTTTCTCAAGAAACTTATGAAGGGACACAGATAACATTTATAAACGTGCACAGACCTAAAGGGAGCAGAGCCTCCACTCTAGATGGCATCTTGCCATCTAAAAAAATAGATGAGAAACCAAAAATCAAGGCCAAAAATCAAGGCCCACTGTGAGTAGAGCCCAGGCCAGGGAAATGCACTGAAAGAATCCCTTTGACTGGAATTAGTGAAACGTTTCTGGAATTTTCTGGTCCTCTAGGGAAGGCTCTCTTGAAGATGGGGTTATCCTATCAAGTGTCTAGCTTCTAACTGGTCAGTGAATGAAAGACATCGTATCATTAATTCAACTTTCCTGAGGTTAGTGAGAGGCTGACAGTCCTAGTGCCCAGATTCAACCAGGGAAAGAGGTGCACGCATCCAGGCCACCCAGGGTAAGTACCATGGGGAAAGGGTCTCAGCTCTCAGCCCTCCCCCACCTAATAAGCACAAACGCCAAAAAGTGGCGCTCCAGCAACAGGAGGTTGCCGCTCAAATGACACGTCTGAATACTGAGGCCACCGCATTTTTCTCACTGGCTTGAAGCTTGGGAAGTCTGATATGCCCCTTTGAAGTCTGCTCAGTGCGTGGGGAATGTGTGGATTTTCTGGGGGCTCGGCAATATGGGGATAGAAAAGACCCTCCCAGGGCTCAAGTATCAAGAGCTTTCTTTCTTGACTCTGTAAACATTCCTGGGAAAGTGAGGAGGGCTAAAACTCCACGATTTGTAACAGGAAGTGTTGAACCTGTCTTGCCTCCAGGTTAGGCTAAAAGGAAAAGACCCCAGGGATGAGTCTTAGGGGACAGTGACGGAGTTAATCAACTTGGGCTGGAAGACAACTGATAGAGAATGTTCTGGGGAGGATTTCTGCCTGAGGGGAGGCCCTTAGCAGGCCCTGCGAGTACAGAACCACCGTACTTCCTCATTTCTCCAATTAAAATGCACTGTATAAGGCATTTTGTCCCATTTTCGGTCACCACCACCAAAAACCTTGTGCACGTTGAACTGACCGTGTTCAAGGGGGCCTAGGGAAGGCATGGGATTTGGTGACACAGTACCGATTTTGGTGAGCCACGTGGCCACAGCGCCATAGATCTCGTCCAGGATGAGGATGACCACGAGGTTGATGATGACCGCCGTTGCTGTCACTGTCACCCGGACATTGGAGCGTGTGGACTTGTTGAGAGACAGGGCCGCAGCAGTCGTGATGCGATACACAATGACCCCAAAGACAATGGAGAACGTCAGGGCAATCTGTTTGGGAAACAGGGAGAGTCAGAGCTCAGCAGACAAGTACTGAGCAGCTATTACTTGCTCAGCCAACTGTCCTAGTCACTACATCAGGAACTATGGATCTGGAGTCCACTCGTGCACACCCTCTGAACTTGCATGCCAATCCTGAGGACAGGTGTGCATCCATGAGAGAGCGTCTTCCATTTTTATCAGAAGCCAAATGGTCGACAACACACACAAAACCTTAAGAATGAAAATGCAGGACATTGAGGTGTGCCCAGCACACGTGACATGATTTCCTTCACTAGGGGACTGAACTCTTATTAAGCCATGGGGAATAATAACGGAGAAGGTATTGCATGCTCAGTGAAGGGACTGAGTACAGATGAGCAAGCAGATCAGGTGGAATAATGGGATAAACTGGGCTCTCGGTGAAGGGAAACAGGGAGCCACCGAAGGCGTCTGACTGAGAAGCAGTGAGTTAGAGCTTCAGGCGCTGGGTGTGGGAAGGCTGCCCAAAGGAGAGAAACCAGGAGTGAGATTTGTAGACTCTCGATCCTCAGGGTGAAGAAAGTATCACTCTAAGATTTCTCTACCAGAAACTATAATGGAGGACTCAGATTTCTCATTTGGTGCCGAAATTTCTGGCTGTTTCATTGAAAGGAACGTTTACCAGTCACTGGACCTCTAAGGGTCCCCCACTTCCTCCGTCTAGAACCTAAAAATAATAAATCACTCTCCCAGACCAGCCCCTCTCGTCCCCCATCACAGCCCAGGAAGGCGTGTTTCTGTGAAGCACGAGGATGTTAGGGGAAGAAAGTGCTCTGAGTAAGCTCTCAGAGAGGGCAGAGGGAGGAGACGGAACTTCTGGGTGTATAACCTGCTCAGAGCAAAATTCTAATTTGTTTCAGCCAAGCAAAGTGTTCTTTCTTAGAATTCTTTCCACAGAGGAAGCTGTTCAGGTAGTATTCCCCCTGGGTCAAGGGCTGGGGGGCTGGCACTGGCTGTGGAGAGCTACACGCAAACATGGGGAGAAAAGGTTTCCTCTGAAACTACAAACTGTCCTGGACTATGTGCTCCTTCCCTAGAAAGAAGGGGAGGGGAGGGAAGGAGGGAAGGGGGCTCTGGATCAGGCAATGCTTTGCATGCAGTGGGTAGGACACTGGTGGGCAAATGGGGAATGGGTTGCAGAGGAGTCAGGTATGCATGTTGTCAGACCTTGGCGGGGGGGTGCCTGGGGATGCAACCTTAGCTATTTACCCCTGTGTGCCTTACAAATATTAGGTATTTGCCCTCTGGGCCACCGTGTGAAAAAGAAGGCTTCCCTAAGGCAGGCAGGATGGTGATGTTCTCTGCATAGAGTGGTGTCAGGGTGGACGAGAGGTTAGATGGGAAGGACACTGTATGGGAGGCCCCTCTTCTGATGCAGGGTGGGGGTGGGCACAGCAGATGCCCCAGCCTCCAGAACTAGGGAAGAATGATGACCATGTAAGTGGGAAAACCTGGACATGACATCACCGCTCTCCAACAATGTAGTCATTTTCACTTCCCATTCCTCTGGGATTGTCACTGCCAGATAGTAAGGGCCTAAAAAACGTGATGTGAGATTCTTTTCCCCCAAAATCACTTTTGCAGTGAAGGCCGGTGATGGCGGTATTCATGGGGGGGAGGGGGGAGGCCAGGGCATCAAAAGAGTGAGCGTGTGTGCATTTGGGGGTGGGTCTGGGGGAAAACAACAATGGCAAAAACATCCTTGGCTTTGGGGTCTTGGGGGTAGAGCACGGAGGAATGAGTGGGGAGGAGATCAGCTTCTATTCTTCTCTAAGAGGCCCAGCCGCTCAACTGGGGAAGGAAGAAAACTCTTCCATTTTTACCCAGAGTGTGGTCTGTGGACCTGCTGTATCAGCTAGGAGCTGGGGGAACATGCAGGGTCTCAAGCACAGCTCCAGATGCACTGGCTCAGAATCTGCCCTGGAACAAGATTCCCATTCAAGTTCTAGAGGCACTGCTCTTTTAAGAAAGCCCCTTTTCCCATCCCTTCCTGCAACGCACTCCTCCCCAGGCCTCTGCTACTGTTCTATGCCATCCTAACTTCTCAGCCCCTGATTTCCCATGCCACTATAGAAACCAGGCTCTGACCTGTCCTTCAGTGGTTCCCACAAGCCCCTCAAGGATCACAGTAGTCAAGCTGGAGGAGCCTGGAGAGCACCAGCCCCATCCCGTGACCACTTTGCAGATGAGGAACCGGGCGTGGAAAGTGAAGTGATTTGCTCAAGGTCACAAGGCATGGACTACAACCACAGTCTCTGGGATTCTGGGAGGAGATAAAGGATTTCAGCCTTCAGGGATCATCCACATCCAGCTTCTAATCTCATATATAAGGAAACTGAGGCCCGAGAAGCAGCAATGTGATGGGTCCAAGGACTGGGCAGTTCCTGGCAAAGCTGGGATCCTAGCGGTGGTAACATCATCATGAACTAAACCACCTGTGCCCTCTCAATTTTGTTATTCAATGCCCATCTTCACAAGCACTAATCCTTATAACAATAGCATAAAATATGCCTTTTGTGGATGTGATGTACTGACCGTCCAGGATCTGAGCCCTGCTCTGTGGCTCCCACACCTACAATCCCATACTGACATTAGAATGCAGGTCCTCTAGTACTAAATCCAGCACTGTTTTTACCACTGTAGCTGCAATGTTGATTTTGCTTATTAAATTCAACAAACATACGCTGGGTATATTTCATGTTTGTGATCAGTCTCCCCCCAAATAGGCCAAAAGTGGGGACTGGTCTTGTACTGCATTCTGTGCCCCATGCCATTTCACAGTGGTGCCTCACTGTGGAACCTGCTTGGTAAAGATTTGCTGGTCCCTAACTCTAGGAATCTAGCTCCCAAGAACATGGGAACTTTATCATACTTCCCATTGCTTTTGGTGTTCTGCTCCTGTAGCTTTACTTGTGGACATAGCCAAACTGTAACGAAAGCCAGGCTATGGAGTCCAGAGTCCTATTCAATGCTATGAGAGACAAGAAGGAGAACGGGTCTTGTCCCCACCCTCCAAGTCTTGCATTCTGAATCAAAGTTGAGAAAAATCATTGCACATATACAAGGATGAGCCTCGTAGCAGCTGGGCAGAGTACAGGCTCAGCTCATGTGCTTCCTATGCTCTGGGCAGAGAGTGGAGAGATTAGAGAAGATCCCACGGAAATAGTTTTGGGTCAGTTTCCTATGATAAAGGCTTGGGGAAAAGGAAATTTTAAAAAAGCAAGCAGAAATGGACAAGTCAGAAGCAACCTGGGCTGAACCAGTGGGAGCATACCCAGTCTAAAGCAGGGCATGGAATTAGTAGCCCCATTTTAGAGCATACACACACTAACGACTTCATCATTGACATAATAAGCTGTCCCTGCAACTTATTAACTTATTTTCTCATCCAGCCATTTATAAGATGTGTCTTGAGTGCCTTCTATGTGCCAGTCACCGTGCTAAGTGGCAGGGATATAGTAGTGAACAAATCACCCAGGACCGCCTACCCTCATGCCATTGATCTTCTAGCGGGGAAAGACACAACCAACTACCAAATAACATCAAACATATAGTATATCTGGTGTGATAAATACTACAGAAACAAATAAAGCAAAACAGGAGTATAGGGATCGGTTGCAGTTTACAATAGGGTGGTCAGGAAAGGCATAGGTGAGGAGGTGACATTGTAGCAAGGCTGTCAAGGGGAAGTCTGAGGGAAGGGGCCTTTGGGCAGAGGGTGGCTAAAGGAGAAAGAAGGGGGAAGGTGGGGCTGGAGGGGAGGATGTAGGACAAGGATGTACAAGGATGTGCAGACAAAGATGTAGCATGAGGATGCTGGCTTCTAGCTCATGAGATGCGGAGTCTTAAGAGAGTTTTGAGCAGAGAAGTGACATGGTTGGATCTAGATTTTAAAAAGATGAGTTGGCCTATAATCTGTAGGGGCACAATTAGGAGGCCCTTGCAACAAGCCAGGTGAAGGAGGAGGGTTTCTGATGGCTGATTCCCAATTCACAAGTAGAAGTAAATGACTGTCTGGGGCATGTGGGAGGGAAGCTCAGGCACCTAGCTTAGAGCAAGGACACTGCTTTTGATAATCTCCTCCCACATTAAAAGAAAACAAAGCAAGTTTAATTCAAAAAGGAAAGAAAGGGGCGACTGGGTGGCTCAGTTGGTTGAGCGTCCAACTCTTGATTTCAGCTCAGGTCCTGATCCCAGGGTGGTGGGATCGAGCCCCGCGTTGAGCTCCACACTCAGCGGGGACTCTGCTTGGGATTTTCTCTCTCCCTCTGCCCCAACCCACCCTGCTCACTCTCTCTCTCTCTCTGTCATTCGCTCTCAAAGAAATACATAAATCTCTTAAAAAAAAAAAAAAAGGAAAGAAACTATAGCTCAAGACGTTGGGTTGGAGAAGAAAGAGAAAATTCACCACTGTCCATGACGGCCATGAACACAGCACTGGGCCATTGTTTTGTTCTCACCAGCCCATGAAAAATATTCCCAGCTGATCTGGCAGAGTGGCATCCCTAAAACCCTCCCCATGGCCATGACCTTGGCATCTTCTGCCAAGACCTAGTCACAGGGGGTGGAGGAGGGAAGGATATTCAGTACTCATGTGTGTTGCAGTAAGTGCCTTTGGCTTACGGTAATTCTATACGCAAATCCCACTTCTTTATAAACACCACCATGACCCTTTATCTCCCACGCCAAACCTTATTCTAGGGCAGTGCCAAGCCCTTTCTCTTTACAAGACTGAGGCGTTTTTTTAAAATGAAAAAAATGAGGAAAAGTTAGCACAAAATAACAATTTTTAAAAATCTAATAGATAGGAGACTATGTAATTTATTGTCCAACCTATAATACTTTTGAAAGTAAGATGGAGGGGCGCCTGGGTGGCTCAGTTGGTTAAGCAACTGCCTTTGGCTCAGGTCATGATCCTGGAGTCCCGGGATCGAGTCCCACATCGGGCTCCCTGCTCAGCAGGGAGTCTG